CAGTCTAAAAGTTGCATTTGTAATGTTAAGCTGCAGTTTTTGTTGTTTTTTCCAAACGAAAGGGTAAAAGAAGTAACTCGAAAAGTACTGGAAGTGGTTGTGAGATTAAAATGGACATCCAGCATCCTTTTTATAATCTGCTGTTAGTTGGGTCTCCCGTAAACAGATCCATAGGGCCATAGTTCTAAGGGCGAAACAGTTCTTAACATCTGTGAAGACTCAGTCCTGTTGCATTCTAAATGAGAAAACAGTAATGAATTTAGTCAGAAATGTGGAATAGATAAATAACCAAATTACATGTATTTTAGCAAAGAATTTATGCAGTTGTGATTTACCTTTAGTTCATGAATATTAGGTCAGGCCAGCTATTTATTGTGCAAAGCATAACATGGACTCAATACCGTATCTCAATGCTTTTATTATTTTGCTCTCATTTAAGTATTACCATGTATCTGCATCTAGTTTAACAAGTAGACATACAAGCAGAGTTAGTGTTTGATGAACTAAAAGTCCTAGTTGTCAAAAAGATTCTTAACATTTGTCCACAGCCAACTGCATTTAATTGAAATACAGAACACTCATCTTCTAAGACTGCATACTGCTCTTCTACGGGCAAATAAAAGCTCAGACACTTAGCTATCCTGCTACCGATGTTATTGCTGGGGAAATTGTTTAATGACAGTGATCATGAAATATGGCCAGTGATAGATGTACAATCTAGAAATAAACACCAAACATACTTATCGCTATCTTATAATGCATGACAGCAACAGTACCAAAAGCACTTTTTTCCTATTTTTAATCAGACTGATTTGAATCAGTATACTCATCAGAAACAGGCAACTCTACTTACTAGACTGATCTGTTTCGTTACAGGCTTCAAGCACTATACTTAAGTATACCGTAATTCTTTCAACTAAACTATACGACAACCAAGAATACTAGACTAAGCAAGTGTCATAGTTATTGTTTCATTTGCACAGGCATATTGCTTAAAGTAGTTAAAAGGACGATAAAACAAGAACACGAAATATAGGCCAACAGAACTTACCTAACAGAAGACAAAGAATATATATATTGCTTTCCGACTAAAGACAACAGGCAGTTGTTCATAAAAACATAGTTTATGGTACAATAAACCTTTCTACAGTAAAATCATGCACTGACAGTCCATCTGGAAACAATCAACTATATGAATAAACTCACTATGACTTGAGATATCATTCCAGCATGCAATGAACGTGTAGTGTAACGCAGTCGAAGGTGGCGAATAAAAATATATAAAAAGATCAAAAATAGCTGTATAATCTAGTTATTTAATAAAAAAATACATTATGAAATGACAAAATCTGTGGTTACTTGAACGCACAGATGACCGATACATTAAGTTTACATGGTTGCGTTACAGATAAGATCACTCTCTAAATACTATTTTAGCACTACAGCTGATGTTCGTTCGTAATAAAAACCCAAAGTCTAATTCCTAACTCCAACCATCAACTGTAAAGCATAAGTCTAATTGCTCACACTGCTTGATAACCCTTATTTAGTCCTATTTAGTAGATTGACATTTTCAAGGTCACTATAGCGTTATTTGACGGACATCCTTAAGTTACCGTATCACCTATAACATGCATTCATATCCCGGTATGTCTTTTGTTTCTTCATAGATTTGTACCAAACATTTTTGAGTTGGTTTATGTGGTAGGAGATGTGTCGACAATAGGTCCCAAAAAGGGCTTGATGATGATACACTAATGTAATTCAGCTCATGTAAATGTTGGATTAATAGGATAATTCAGTAATACAGGGATTCGTATCTCTTGTTTTGTCTACATCTCGCCAGTTTGATTGGTCTTGTTCCGTACTCAGTTACTGTAAAATTTCTAATAAAAAATACTCTAATTACATGGCGATATGGCTGATACACTTGTGCCGCTACCTGTTAATTTTATCACTGTACTATCTTTAACTAACTGATTAACTATCTTGTTTGGCTTCGTTGATTGTTCTTGGGGTCGTTAATTACCAAGAACTAAATATGCGTCAAACCATTAGTATTTAATCAGCTATATATCACAAACATCTGGAGTATATCCAATGAATTAGTAAATTAGGAAAGTTGAGATTGTTTAGGATTTCCACCCATTTCTCAATATAAGTGATATAATGCAGGAGAAACTAGTTCGTCAATGATCTCAGCGTAGAACTCGATACGGTTGTGTACTGATCTTCAACCCCCACTTCACGTAGAAGTGAGATTTCTGGTTGTTCCACAAACACTAAATCTATCTGTTCCCAGGGCCATGTTTATTACTTGGCGCCTTCGTACACTTTGTTACCTTTATTTGTCATTGTATTCGTATCGACTGTCTTTTCTGGTTGAAATCTAACACTGTGATTAATTGGCCTCTTTCATATAGGCTCGTAGATTGGGTGGACATCAATGCACCTGTTTATTGCCAACGGAATTAAGTGTTTTCCCCACAAAGATTCCCTGGCCGTCTTGGGATTTCTCTTACAGAGAGTTTCGAAGTCTCTCTAGTTAAATTCACGTCCATGATTGTCCACATATGTCGATATCAGTGACACCACATCACGTCTCTCTATTGCTGATCCGTGTTCATTTATGGATAGATGAGGAGGACGTTCAATTTGTCCAGTGTAATAGGTCTCGTAGTTGGTGCAATTTATTTTGTAAATGATGTCCCATTTCTCTTCTTTAGTTTGTTGTCTTTTGGTCTGTATAGAATGAAATAGAGTGGTTGTATTGGTTTGTGGGCGACGGTTATTCCAAAGAGCTTCAGAGCACTTGTGATGATTTTTAAGATGAGTTTCGCAGACGTAGGGCGATCTGTTTCTTGGTTGCCAGAGTTGTATTTTTTTACTTCTGTGATTAGTGTCTGGACATAATTCGTTTTGTATGCTGTTGTAGCTTTCAATACTTGCTTCGTGTACCTTAGTTTTCTCCATAATTGTTTTTTTATGTCCCTCTGTTTACTCTGTTGCTTAAAATATCAAAGAACAAGACCCTGTCTTCTATTTCTTTAATTGTTAATTTGCTGTAATTGGTTAACGTCGACCAGCCTACGAATATTTGCAAGTGATCTCTCTACAGGATAACTAACATGTCGCCTGCGTAACCTCTTCTAAATTGATGTGGTAATCATAAAACTAATCAGAATGTACCTGAAGCCTAGAGTGTGTTGTTTGCCTGTACGTTTACTCATAGGGCTAACCCACTAACATCTTAAGAGTTGAACTTAGAACTTAGTGGGTGGTGGTTGTATATACTGTCTGTAGAGCTCTCGATTACTCAAGAGATGAAATCTTGGGTTGAAGTGGAGATACGTTATCAAACATGCTCATGATTACTACCAGTGTCACCAATTTCGGGGGTAGATCTATATAATAATACTGTAGCGCTGTCGATCGTTTACTCAATAATGTGTACTTTTTCAATAAATTTGTGACTACATTTTATAAAGCCAGCTCAACATAAAATGAAGTTTATGGAATACATTTTTCCTTTCTTTTGCTTCGATACTCTATAGAAACAGTATGGGAAATTTACAAAACTGGACAGTTAGGTGAAAAAATGTTTGACATGAATGCATGACATTTCATAACGTTATACGCTGGCTTAAATCTTGAAATGAAAAAAGTGTTCACGTGATCTAATAGATCATCTTGTTTTATTATTTTGAGCTTATCTCTAAAAACTTAGGGAAGGTCCATATTCATCTAAGTTATAACTTTGGTTCGTATAACCAGATATACATATATCTCTGGTGTTGTTCTTTGTTTATCAGCAAACATCTACAATATATCTGTTTTCTATTTTTCAACCCACCAGTTTACTTCAGCGTGTGATATTAAGATCTTATCTTGCAGTCTTTGGTTCTTATGAACCATGTTGATCCCTGAAGACCAAATATGGATGGTCGTTGTTGGTTTCATAATAGCTTTCATTCTTGCTTTCGGAATTGGTGCAAATGATGTGGCAAATTCATTCGGGACTAGTGTTGGGGCCAAAGTATTAACACTGAAACAAGCTTGTATTCTTGCTACAATCTGTGAATTAAGCGGTTCTGTTCTTTTAGGTAAATTTAGTTTGGTTATATATACACGTGTGTGCTTCTTCAGGTGCTAAAGTTTCCAATACCATACGGAAAGGTATTGTTAGTGTCGAACTTTTTCAAACCATCGACAACGGGCATGTACTCTTGATGGCCGGACAGGTTGCTGCTCTGGGTGGTAGGTCTATGAAAATAGTATTTTTTTCACTATATAATTTTTTCCTGAATTTCAAAAGTAATCAACTACACTTAACCTCTGGTGCTCACAGTTATACATGAATTAAATAAAACTGATAAGATAATAATTCTCCTAGTGATAATGAGCTATTTTACTTTATATATATCAACATTTGCTCGACCGTAGCTGCTATCGATGTGGTGGTCGGACTTGCCTATCGTGATGATTCTACTGAACTATGTCGGCGTGAGCACTTGTTTATTTAGGTCCTTCCATACCAGGGAGGTCGGTTGGAAGATGGTAATACTAAAAGCAGCAATTTAAGGCCCGCGGGCCAGGTCGTACTGCTGACTGTAGTGGGGTGTAGGTGCAGTAAGGTGTTTTCTTCGGACAACCAGCATCTGCATCCGGCGGTAAGGTGTTTTGAAGTGCGAAGCAAACTCGTCAAAACGTCCGATATAGGGCCCGTGCGCAACTGGCCTTAAGCAGTTGTCCCTTGGTCTCTGTGGTCACAATCCTAGTTCGCCAAGACCACCACGAATTCAACATCCTTTTCAGGTCCCTCAAGAAGAAATATCTTTCCGCAGTGTGGGCAATTGGGAAGTGACAACCATTCTAATGCTACTATCAGCACCCGAGATCATCTTATTGACGATCGAACCACCCCTTTATCTCCTAATAATTCTTTCATCCCTATGAATAACCCTTCTCACTTATCTTTATCACCACGCGCCACTAACAATTATGATTTGAGTTCACAAAATGTTATTTCTGGTCTCTTGAAACTATGCTCTAAACTATATGTTGGAACTTTTAATATTCGAACCTTGTGTCAGATGAGAATCTCGCACCATCGACGTGTAATGCGTCTCCGAAACACTCATACAGGGTCCAAGTACAGTCATTCATCTGACCACACCTTGTCAGTATAAAGAATCGGGACGATTTGCCCTACAAGTGACTGGAGACCCTATTGCTAGTTCCCGTGGCGTCGCTGGTGTAGGTTTAGCATTAAATTCCAACTTAAAACAGGCTTTCCTAGACTGGATTTCAATAAACATTCGCTTGTGTTCTGTCCGACTAAACGAGACAAGAAGAACTCGATAACCTCATAGATGATATCATCATCACACTAATAAAGTTGTAAGTTCGATTTCGGATCAAACACATCCTGCAAATCTGGACAGACGGTGTACATCTCGAACTCTTTGGGTGCGGTAAACGGACAAAGTGGCTAACTTAGTGGAAGAGGAACTCAAACGACCTAATCTCTAATCCGATGCATTCAGCATCGCCGGTACAGCAGCGACATGGACATGCTCAAATCGCATTATCCTATCTGTACTTTGTCTTCGTGTCAGCTCTGCTCACTTATCTGTTTAATGGATCGTCCCATTATGATTATAATTATCATATTCTCATCATTAAATTAATTTCATATCATCACCTAACGTGGAATTATTATTTTTGTTCGTGCTGACATTGGATTATGACATATACGCAATCATATCACTCACCGAACAAATTATAATTTTATGAACATTCCATTCACGTTATAACATTTGAAACTCACTGGACTATTTTCTATTATTCAATAACGTAAAACTTTCCTGTCTTGAGTGAGTCCGCTCAATTTTTTTCGTGTCATTTACACGTTTCATTTACATGTATAACTGCATGTTGCATCATTCATTACCCATAAATATTGTTCGATTACTGCAATTAATACCCTATTTCAGTCACACTGTATATCAGAACGTAGAGTTTAGAGCTAGTCTCTCAAGGATACACTCTTGTTCGTCTCATCCAAGTCATTCTCACTCGCCGTCATCGATAATCAGACGTATTGATATTTTTATTATGCCTTAGTACGGTTTTGTAACAAACGAGGTCGAGCGCATATCCCTCCAACGACATAAACCACGCTAGGCTTCATGATAAAAAAGGAATACGACTCCGCGTATCTCGTCTCCGCAATCACTATTCTGTTCCTTTGGTCATTCTACTAATACATACTCAACGATAACTCGGTGCATCTGGTTATGACTGACGCAAACAACAACGTACGCTAACTTCTCATTTTGCTATTATTATTATTATTATCAATTGCAGTTCAACAATGAATATTACCCATCAATACAGTTATCATTTTACGGCTGGATTATTTTTATCTCACGTGAACTCCATGTATGTAAATTCAAATGCACTAATCGCTACTTACTCTTCTACGGTTTATTAGAATATCATATTTCACTGTTCTTTGTTCCTATATTCAGTCGGCACCACAGACAAATTTCTATTATATTCTGTCCTACTTATTCTCACGGTTATTCCTCTGTCATGCCCATGAACGCTTTATCACTCTGTTTTCACGATATTTTGAATCGCTCATACGAACGTGTTATTCAATTATTCAAACAGTCACGAAATAAATGTTAATTTTTTGTACGCTTAATAATTTGCTCTAATCGCATGCTGACATTCCATTTTTTTTGTCCCCATCTTTGCAATATTCATGCACTTTTTTACATAAGTATGACAATACATCAACCTCTCATGCGACACTATCTATCAGATACAGTACAATTTTTGTTCGCTAGTTATTGTTTTCGAAATCCGCACACATCTTCTGTGTTAATTTCGAAAACAGACATTTTAAAATGAATTTGCTATTTTCTACAGGGGGCTTTGACGTGGCTGGCACTATATCAAGCCCGTATAGCTTATTCTAGCTTTCGGACAGGCCAATTTATTCATTCTCCCTGAGTCACATTTTTGACTTTTTTAATTATTCGCTTATCAACCTTGACCGTTTTTATGTAAGCATATGTGTGTTCATCTATTATTCCACTCATCACATGTCTGTAACCTATTTTTTGTCTGACTAGAAATATTGAGTAACTCTTGGTTAAGTTGATTTAGTTGACATGTCTTCTCCGGTTCGTTTCGCTTCACTCTTTCCTCTTCTCTCCCTTCGCTCCGTCTTTCCGATTGTCTATTTCGATCAACGGTTGTACAAAATATACGTATTTAAAACCCATTCTTGTATTTGTCTTACTATAATTCCGTTATTCACTAACGCGAGTTAAGTCAAGGATTGGCAACATGTATATATCTCGATACAATCAGAAACGATCTAACTGGAATCAGATATAGTGCCACTAGAAGTGTATTTTGCGATCACGGAATATTCAATGTCTGGGTTAGGAATAGAGTACTAGGCAAATATAGGAAATCGATTGGTGATTTAATAAATCTTCATCAACTGAGGTGTTCGGGACATGTATTGCGTATGCCCAACCACCGCCTACCTCGACAGTCGATATTTTCTGGTTCAGGAGTAGGCTGGAGGGAAGCTATGGGGCAGCCAAATCAAAACATGACATCAATCCATGGAGTCACTGACAACTGGATTTAACTAATGTTAATAAGTACTACCTGGTCGGGGGTTGCGTGGTTATCGTAATCAATGGTTGGAGACGTTGAATGACATGGCTCTAAATCGTTTGGAACGGCGCAGGTGCATCCATTCTTTGTCTATTCTGCTAATTTATATTTTCTTTTCGAGTCATATCTTCGATGTCTAATCTTGCCTATTACCACTGATATGGCTACTACCTCTACTATTCTAGGATTTGGCCTGACAACAACTTCATCTCTCTGTGCTATCGGAGTATGGCAACTTGAACCGATGTACATGCGTATAGGTTCAACGTAGTGATTGACTAATATCAACTGTCGAATTACAGTTGTTACCAGACTGTTTAATGTCTTTTGCACAATAAAACATTTGATGGCAACTTTTAAAAATCTTAAATATTTAGTCAGTTTTAAAAAGAGATTTTATTATTCCAAAACAATGACGTACTTATTATAATATTGATAAAATAATTGTCAAATTATTTGTTAGTTTTTATCCTATGTTTGAGTGAAACTGTGTGCAGAATCCAACGTAGTTTTTGTGATTATAGTTTTAATGTCAAGTTGGCACATTTATACTTCACGTTCTTAACAAATATTTACTTTTCTCAAGGTGATTGCTAATTTCCTGTTAAAAAAGTCTTTGTTGTAAAATAATTTGTGACTTATCAAGATTTATTATTGGTTTTTCATTTGTGGTAGGCATATTTTTTAATGCTATTTATTTTTATTTAATAAAAATGAACCCCTTAGATATTTGTATACTTGTTTAGCAAATGTTATGTTCGCTTAAAGCCTGTAGTATTAGGTCTAATGAACTCATGACAAGCAGTCAAATGTATACATTACTATTATGTATTATTCAATTTTGAACTGACTCTAACATTTTGAGATTATTTCAGGTATGTAATTAGTAGTATAGTAGTTAAAAGATAACTTCTTACACTTTTCTTAATCTCTATTCTGACGGATGCATATCAGTTAATTAAACTTGAATATCAAATAATTGAAATTAAGTGGATGTAATTGATAATCATAAGTTTTTATCATCAGTAAACTGTATTCATAGAATTATACATATACTGATACAGTTTACGGGGATATTCACTATTTCGAGTAACTTTTTTCTACTATTTTCTGTTATATTTGTTTCATTTGTCTATAGGTTCTTGTATTTGGCTTTTGGTTGCTACATTCTTTCGTCTTCCAGTCTCTGGCACACATAGTATTGTAGGTGCAACGATGGGTTTTAGTCTTGTTGTTTTTGGACTCAATGCTATTCAATGGAAAGGACTACTCAAAATTGGTAAGAATTTTTTTCAAATATAGAAATAATGAACATGATAATTATTTTTCTGAATACATTTTTGATAATTTAATGAGAATAAATTATTTAGTAGCGATGTTGTTTACTCGATACTGCAGTAATTATTTACTCGTGTAGTAAAGATTTTAACCCTATATGAATGATTATGATTTCATACGAATTCATAAGTTTGTAGTTTGAGTCCCATTTCAAACTTGAACAGTATAAATTCTACTTGTTAGTGAAGTTTTTATTACCATTTATAAATGTTTAGAAATGTAAGTAATTTGTCCCTTTATGCGTCAAATGCTTAAGCATTGATGCTCCTCACATTATCTTTATGAATTAAACTAGTTTTCTTATTATATTTATTGGTAAAACCTAGTTCCCTTTTAATAAATAAATAATTGCTTAGGTCTAGACAACTAGACATGGCTGTCTATATAATGTACTTTATGTACCTTGATTTTCAATAATAAACTGCAGAGTATTTCGTAAATTTCACTTTGTTGTATTCTTATGCTGGAGCGTAGGATAATCCACATGATTTAGAAAAGCCTAACAGAAAACGGATGATTTAATAAAATCTAGGAGAGATTTTAAATCATAAGACATTCTGATAATTAATAAGCTATAAAAATTACATTATAAAATCTAAACATAGTCTGTTTTTCTTTATTATCGCTTTTTAACTACGTTGGAATCATAATACGTCAAACATTTTTGTCAGTCTGAGGTTGTGGAGATTATTGAGTTTCAATGAAATCACAAACCGATTTAAATCAGACAGTCATCCGAAAATTGGAAGCACTGGACTGCCTTTTCATTCTAGCGTGCGACTCCTAAATAGTGTGTACCCACAATCCCAGAACGGGGATTCGGACCCAGGACTTTCTGTCTACAGAACGAAGGTGATAAGTGTTAGATTTTATATACGTATCACGTTTTGTGTATATGGCTATACGTTTCGGAACAGTTTCTACTGCACACTATGTATATAGTCAAACAGTTTGTTCCTGGATTAAACTTTATTGATGTAAGTGTTTTCCCATGTTAGGTGATCAGAATGAGACGGTATATTTCATCATCTGACTCAACAATGATTGTATGTGTTCACTCAGCTGATTTCTACTATTTATGCAAATTCTGTCACAATGATGATGGTTCCACAAACAACGCAAAAATATAATACACCGAGTTGCTTGAAGTAACGTTTCGCATTTCTATATTTAGAACAAAATCAAATAATAGTAGTCTCAGTTTTTTGAAAACGAAGTTAACATAGATCTATTTTGCAGTAGAATGAGGTATCTAAGATCCGAATCAAAACTTACATCTGATTTATATTTACAGGAGAACACTAGATACAGTCGTTTGAGTATGATGTCATCGGTGCAAAGATATATTTCGTATTTATTTTTTCTTCAAGTAGTAGAAATTTAATCGTTTCTGACCAGTTTGCTATTTGTTCCATTGTTTATTTGTCCTTCACTTTGGTATTTTAAGAATAATATTTCTTTTCTTGGACAAACATTTCTGTTTGCCTATATTCTTCGTGTTTACTTCAACACTTTTCTCTTTTTGCTCTGCTATAAAATGCTACAATTAGTTAGTATGTATTTATTATTCATGGTTTGATAATGCTGAGTCTTCACCACCTAATTATGAATAGTACCTGCTGTAATTTAAGTGATCACATTGATTGGATGGGAAATCTATATATTCTATGACGGTAGTGATTTATATAATAGTGGACTAAAATAAACTAAATATAATGAATAATCCCAATCCTTGAACTACTGAGCAGTTTTATAATCATAATAATAGTGTTATAAGTAATTTAAAGAAGAAACATGATACTATTTAAATATTGTAACTTACATTGTATTTCTAGGCTTTACTTATCGTTCACATTGGTCTTTTTTATTGAAAGTTACATGACTTTCCCTGTTTAAATAAGAAAAAATACACCTTTTCGAGATTTACTTCAAATTAAAAATACTGTAATCAATTTCGTCATTTTCAGGATTTTATTATATTTTGCCCACATTCGTGTCTATAGCATGACAGTTCAAGTAAATATACCAAATTATTGAATAATAATACTTACATGCTTATGCCTGTTACCCATCGTGGAAGAGCATAGGTCTTCCCTCAGCATTGTGCAGCCAACGCTGTCATGGGTAATCCTCTACAGTTGTTTCCAGTTGCAATTCATCCTTTTGATGTCTGCTTCCAATAATGATTATAATTAATTTACTGTTGTACTTATTGACACTTTATACTTATAAGGATTGAATAAGTATTAACTTTTTGTATAACATATTTATACTACATAATTTGATAACTTGGCTGTTAATCATACTGTTTTTACATATTATATTTTATGCAACTGTACATGTAGAACTGTTCATTTTATTTGTTTGTACATAAATATGGAATGCTATCATGGTCATATTATAGGATGGTAACGATAGCTAAAGTTGTTATTGGATAGAATTGACTTTAATCGTGTGACTTGAACTTGATTTTCTATGTGATTCCTTTCATTCGTTTTTGTAAACTACAAATCAAATATTTCCATACAGAGCTTAATTAAGTTTTCCCAAAATAGTTTTTTTAAAAACTTGTAAAGGGCTATAAATAAATAATATATTTGTAATATCCCAATGAGTAGAAAATTAGATTTTCTGGCGTTTCGTGACTTAGTGTAAGTCACTTCTTCAGAGAATAAATAACCAAATTAGAATTAATTCAAGTTTAATTTGGTTATTTGTTCTCCGAAGAGGTGACTTACACTAAGTCACGAAACGTCAGAAGATCTAATTTTCTACTCATTGGGATATTACAAATGTATTATTTATTTATAACAATCTACCCAATGCTCAATTTATTCGAAATTATCAAATCAAACCTTGGTAATGATACTTTGTAAAGGGCTAGTTATCTGTTTTTAAAGTGGGATAAATTTGTTCAGTTTCTTCACTTGACTTTAGATACATTCATGCTGTATAGACTTATGTTAATTGAGATGGCTGATCTGTTAAAAAAAATTTTCATTTTGGAATTAGTTTTCACAAGGAATTAATACAATAATTCACATTCTTCTGAATTTAACCAATTAGCAATAGATAGCTCTAATAATATTCATTGTTATCGATGACTTGCTGATGAAAACTGACTTCAGAATGAATTATTCCCCATAAATTAATGAACTAGACAGAAGACATATTTTCAGACTATTTAAAACGTTGTCAATGAAATATGGTTTATAAAAAATTTGATTACTTTATTTCTGAACATTATCTTAATGTAATTTACTAAATATTACATTTAATATCCGTGTTGTTGATGCCTACATAATCAATCGGTATTAATACTAATGAAATGTATATCCTACTTACTTCGTATACATTCTGTCGAAAAATCATGTAGATACAACTTAGATAATGAGAGTCAAGCACGACTTGTACGTATACTTCAAACATGCTGATGTCGAATGACAGACAAATAAATAAAAGTTCTACAAAGTGTACAAAGCTCTGGAGTTTGGTGAATAGTAAGGTGACTTAGTTTTTATAAATCATGTAAGAAATACAGGAATGGGATATGCATATACGTACTACTATACACAGATTTAAAAAACGTGCCCAAGGTTACACAGGACTAATTAACGAGAACAAATGTATGTGTCACAGAATATCTGGAAAGATTAGAATAAATTCTGTGCAAATATTGGAGTAAGTCACTTAGGTGTGTAATGATACAAATTGTTACGTAATTTGTTAAATTTCCTTCATTCTCCAGTTAACTGTTTGACTGCATGAAATGGTTTATCTGTGACTAAAACTCCAGTGATATAACCTGTCAAGATATGATTCTTTGAATAAACAAGTCAATAAGTTGATATACGTTAGGCTTTGACCAAACTTTAATCACTTAGTCAAGCTCTTTAACCTATATTTCTTGAACAACAAGATTATTAAGTATCAAAATCAAATATTTCTCTTATCGACAAATTACTTATTATATTGTATAACTAATATAACAAATTACTACAATACTTAACTATTGTTGAAACCAAAGGTGTTTTTAATTCATGTGTTTGAATGATTCGGTTTGGTGATGAACAAGGAGCGAGCCATACTTTATTGATAATGAGGAACGTAAACTTAATTGTCTTAAAAAGAACTACTGGAAATCTGTTTTTAAGGAAATATCGAATGAAAAATATTAACTGAGTTTTGTGTCCAATAAAATTTTGTCCGAACTAATATGTTTACTAGTCAGTTTCAAACGATTTTAAGAATTCTTATTGGTAGACTGGGAAAAGTTGAAATATTCTCATGTTGACAGTAACCAATGTAGACACATTCAAAATGTAATTATTGGATGCTAACATTAACCATCTTATATTAAACCGATCTACTTACTGATCACAGAATTTCTTTTATCGTTTGATTTTATTTTTAGCCACAACATATTTCTGTGCAAGTTCAACTTACAATTGCATTGTTTTAATAATCGTTTGATTTTCTGATGCACACTTTTAACAATTACCATAAATGAATGCTTTCTAGAGCGGTAAGGGGATAAAAATGCAATATCCATTGTAAATTATGAAAACGGTGAACGTCTCTTTGAATTAATACTAGTATTTCTGGTAACAGCACAGTATAAGGATGAGTTTAAAACAACTGCGACGAATTTCCATCTAGTTTCTAGACGATCAGAAAATAGATTTTATAAATGGATAGGTTATGTAAAAGAATTGTATACAGATTTCATGAAATAAATCTATCAATGTCTTTTGAAAGTTACTTTGTTTCTAAGTCGAAGAAACAACTACATATAAACTGGTCCTCATGAATATAGACCGTCCATCTTTTCGAATACTTTAAAGAACTCCAACAAATTCTTAGGAGTCCCTACGTTGTCCGAAGTTAGAGTTAGGGTTTTCATCACGAAATGGCGTCAGCTGAAGTGAAAAAATACTCTGTTACCATATGGATGAATGAATTTCACTCGAGAATACAAAAGGCACTATCTGATTAGTTCGTCTACATAATGTACTGTTACCAGGTTAAAGTTTGTTACAGGATTAAAAGTTTAGAGTTAGGATTATAGGGATGGTGTCGATTCGCCTGTTATATATAATCTACAGAAAAAGGATTGATCATTTGATGCGTTTAGTAATATCATTTTTACTCTATAGTTGCAAAAAATAATTATCTACAATCATTTTAAACGTTTTGAAAGACATACGAAAGTATTTGTACTGTTGAGTATACGTAATCTTTGAATTTCACACAAAAGCCTAAAATTTGCACCCTTGACTGTGAGTGGCTCGTCCCGGCATCATACTTTTACCGGATTTCTTATTAATATTTAAAGACTGTATCTTTATAAATTGTAATTAGAAATTGTCAACTTTGTTGTAAACTTTTCAGTTGTTCAACATGTAGACCTAATTCTGCCTGTCTGTGTTAAAGTTGGTCATCAATGTTCAGTTTTTGTCATCATCCAGATATGCATTCGTGACCAGTATTCATTTCATTAACCCAAGGGTTTACAATGTCATTTGTCATTTTTACATGTTTAGTACTCTAACTGAAGTCTCGTCAAAATTTGGGCAGGTATTTTCACAAAAAATTGATCGTGGAAGAAATTGGTTATAAATTATATCTGTAAAAATCTCAGAAATTCAAATGAAGTGCATTCAGAATTTGGTTCGGTAGTCCAATCTGAGCTTCACTATGGAAAAAGTCAAAACTATCGAAGATAGATTAGGTCGAAAGTAATTCTGACCATGGCGTAATGCCTTTGATAACCACTCTATAAGAATGACGTCCATAAAGTATATTCAACATCATATTCGGCTGTTCTGATATATTTTTTCACTGAATGATTCATGTTAATACTATAAATGTGATTGAACAATTTAGTGTAAAATAACTTTGAACTTATTCTATTTTAGATAATTTTGATTATATCCTTGTAGTAAACCATATCATGCTAATAGGTGAATTGTTATAACTATTGAATTTTAATCTCTGAAACTTTTACAAATAGAAATCATACCTTTCGTATAGCGTTTATGAAAGCATCTTATAACATAGATAATATTATACAAGATTTTGTTTTAAAATGTAGACTAAATGAAATAACACACCAATATTAATAATAAGCAAATAAATTAAGTCTACGAAATTAATTGTTGACTTTCTACTATCTCCCATGAATTGTATACTCAATAATGATTATATCATATTTTGTTTATCATTAACCCAACATGACTTGTGAGCATCATAACTTTTTAAAATAGATAACGTTGATTTAGTTGTTGTCACATTGTTTTATCAATTTGAATTTAGTTGGATCATGGTTTCTCTCACCTCTTCTAAGCGGTTTGGCATCTATCGGAGTATTTTTCCTAATGCGTTTTATGGTGCTCAGAAAAGTAAGTTTTCGACTATTTTAATGCATCATATTTGATCTCATGCTCTCTTATCATAAGAAATTGGGTTAGTATTAGACTTTTAAACCAAATTTTCGAATTTGAATCCCTTACAATGTTTACTTACGAGTATGTTTTCAGAAGATCGAAACTAGTTTTGTTATTGATGGTGATAAATGTTTGCTTGTTATTGCTTATTACACAAACGTTATTATTTTCTTCTATATTTTGATAAAATTAAATAATGAACATATCTGTGTAACTGCGATTGACTTTTGTTTATGCCAAATGTAACCTCTATCAACTTATCCTTATCATCTCGTTGTCACTTAGTCATTACGGCTACACTTCAAAACCACTGAGTTCACAAACGAATGTATTTGTCTTGGTTTGCTGACTACTTTATGAATCCTTCATACGTACTAACAATATGACTGTCTTTATCAAGATGCTGTACTCACGTACGCTCCCGAAGTAATGAGTTATGATAAGTCACTAAATGTCTGCGGATTTCTATCCCCAGCAAACATGAACATGGTTTAATGGGTTGTCTCAGCTAAATTAATTAATGCTTCGAAGGTATTAACGACTCCATACTTGTATTCGTATTGTATTATTCCTGTTTAACAAGCATTTTTTAAATGTGCATAAAAAGGTGGTCTACCATATTTTGTTATATACATTATGGTCTGTCATCAACGCCATATTTCCGTGTTACTGTGAAGGTTAATAAGAGAGTTTACATTCAAATCATACCAGATATCTAAAATACTTTTGGGGTTATTACAATCAAACGATTTAACAATTGTCCTTGACACAATTTTATACACATGATAAAATACTTGGCTTTTATTCTTAGTGTGAGTAAGAACATTTGAATGTTAACTTCTTTTTATTGTGAATAAAATCATGTTTAACCAATGATTTTCTAGACACTTAAACTTTTGAAGTTGATAAAAGACGTGACAGTTTTCTACCAATTGACTTACTCTATTTAGACTTAAATATAAGAAAGATATTTTCTAAGAAAAATGTATTCGAATCTCTGATATCTGATTTTTTTTCCGGATGTGATATGTTATACATCCTTTCGAATACCTTTTATCGCAATTGTTTTGATATGAACGGTCGCGATCGGCCCGTCGTGGTGAAGATCTTCAAATACTAACGAAATCGTGTTATCGGATCTTACATTGCTAAATTCACTGTCCGCCTTCTGAAACTTCTCCAGAACTCGATAATCAATTCCATTTGAAATATGCCGCGTTTATCGTTGTTCGTGATAGTGCATCTGTTACTTAGTTAAATTGGCTTTTAATAGATCGTATATTCCTCGTCGTCCGGGAAATAAATTCTTAATGTCGGATTTCGCTCGCAGAATAATTATCTTGCTTGGCGCTCAATACTTTCTTGAATGGTTTATGATCCGTGTTTACAGTAAAGTTTGTACCTTCCATCATATGTTGGAAATGCTTTTCCCAAGTAAATTGCTAGTAATTCTCTTCCAAATGTAGTATACCCCGTTTGTGTAGGATGCAATGTTATCGAGATAAATGAAATCGGTTTCCTTGTTCTATTTAATAACTTGAGCAGAATGGCTCCTACCTCATTCATCAATGGCTGCAGTATTGCCTCACAATTCAGGATGAATCGCTTATAATAATTTATTAACCTGAGAAGTCGTCGTAACATCTTCCGTGATTCAGGTAACGGGTTGTATCGGATAGCATCGACTTCCACTTGGATTGGCGTAATACCTTGGGAAGTTACCATATGACCTAGGAAAGGGACCCTTTCCAAATTCACACTTTTCAGCGTTTATGGAGATGTCATGTTCTCGTAGTCTCATGGATAGTTGTCGTAGTTGCTGTAGATGTATCGCTGGCTACTAGTAAGTCGTCGATTTACGCATATACTCCTGGTAAACCTCTGATGACTTGGTCAGTAAATCGCTGTAAGGTTTGCGCTGCATTATTCAATCCGAAAGGCATGCGCAGAAATTAATATAACCCGATTGTGGTCGTTGCTGCCGTTTTCGGTATGTCCGTTGGCGCGACAGGAATGTGGTAATACGCTCCAACTAGGTCAATCTTCGAAAAGATAGTGGCAGCTTCTATATTGTTGGTAAAATCGTGGGTGTGTGGTATAAAATATCTGTCGGTTATTGTTCGTTTGTTAAGTTCTCGAAGGTTTCTAATCGACGTCCTGACAAAAAGTCTAATGAATTCAAGCAATACATATATTTGTTAGATCCTATGTTGGTTTTGAATGGCTGGTAAGCCGTATATTTTATCCTATAAAACTTAGGTACACAAATAACTTTAAATGACATTACTGTTAGTTGTTTTCCATCAGCGATACTTAACTCAAATTCAAAATGACCGCCTGTCGATTTAGATCACTTAACATTTAAAATAAATTATTGTGTAATCATGACAGTAGCCGTATTAACTAGACTACATTACTTGAATAGTAGATTTTAGCCAAAATTCCCAATTTCTCAACAACGCAGTGATATCCATCTAGTAACGTTTTCTACTTTAGTCATTTTTATGTTCGTATTTAATGAGATTTGTCGTGTTGTCAAACTACTCTTCCATTATTTCTAATTTCATTCTTTTACGCAAATTCATCATGATTTATTCTTCTACCTAACAATATTTGTTGGGTTTAATTTAAGTTATTAATCTTATCTCTCCACAAAAGCTCATCACATACTAGTCATATAGACATGTGTATGTATATGTTAACGTGTATATGTGTGTGTCCATATTTCTCTGATACATAACGACTTAGTGAAGACTGAAGTCGGAAAAACACGGGAAAGAAAACTGATTCTATAGTTGTTTCTGATTTTGTTGTCGTTATTAGTTTTCTCTGTCATTCTTTATGTACGTGACATTCTTTTATGTGCATTTTTATTCCACAAGAATGTCTATAGAGTGTTTTAGTCGGTATATGTGTATATATCCTGTGTGTTGGTTGAATCTTATGTAAAATCACTATTTTACATTGAACATTTGTTTCTTAAAAAATGGATTTCGTTGTTGTTGTTGTTTTTCACTGCTTTCACTCTACATTTATTTATGTTTAGGAATTTGTGACACAATTATTTGTGCAGATTTTAAAAACAAAACAAACATTATATATATATTAGTCGTAGGCAGACAGTCTACTCATAGAGCAAGTCGCATGTAACTGACAAAAAGATGTGAACAATGGTATCTGCGTAATATATTTGTAAGAATAACACATGATTCCAGGACTACGTAAAACTATAAGTAAAATAATCTGAGTATATATATATATAACCTTGTGTGATTTGCCGTTTCAACTCAATAGGTTTGAACAGTCCGTGATGGATAAATGGGCATTTATTATTTACATAGAATTCATTCCTATTCTTTTCTTAAGTGTTTATTATTTTATTGATAGACAGTGAAATAGCTGTTAGCATACTGACTGTTTTTTGAATCCGTCAGTTAAAATAATGATGAAACTAGTAAGTTCTAACGAAAAATTTCTAAACACTTTTGGTTTCTGTATTCCCAAGTTAGTTCCCTGTGTGAATGTTTACAAGTGAATGACGAGATACAACTGTGGTCATGATCAATGCTGAATAAGGATTTTGAAGATTTGTCGCTGAATATATAATTAGTGAATTTCATTGATCTTTCCATTTACATCAGTCATATGTTTCTGATCATTTACTCATACCACATATAGTCTATCCAGATTTCAGGTTCCACCAGTTTTAGTTTCTATTTTACTGAAATTTATTTCTTACTTGAAACATTAGTAGTTTTGTTCTGGCATTTATTAGACAAATCATTGAATATAATATCATATGCAATGGTATAATTCCTAACTAACTGAATCAATTGGTTTTTACTCATTGCAATCAGATTAACATTTCAAATTTGTTTCATTTACTTGTAATAGTGTATTAAGTGAAATAATTTACCTAATGGAAATTTATGTGTTCTATACATATCTTGGAATGGAAATAATTACGAGTCAATCAAGCTGAAGAAATCGTTAGACTGATTTCAACATCAAATCTGAACTGAACGACATTTGTGCCTGTATATTCGTTTTAAGTAGTCAATCTTTTAATATTATGCATTTTCACAGTTTATAATCATGCTTATTCCGTGTGGAAACTATGGTATTTCATAATGTTTTTGTAAAACTATTAAAAAATCTAGTGTAGAGTTTCATTATGTTGAATGGATTATCTTCAAATGGGAATCAAATTATAGTATATAAATTTATTAAGAACAAAGTTCACTGAAACAAACTTGGATATTTTCCGCCTGAATGTGACACCTTTCAAAGTTGTTTACATATTTTAGTTGTTTTTCATTTCAAGCGTTAATCAGTTTAGATGGAATAAAAGGACTTTCTTAATTAGAGCCTTCCTATTTTACTAATTTCAACTAATTATGACTGTTAGGGTGATTCATTTTTGCGGATTTATTTATATGATTATACAAGTATAAAGTTCCACATTTGTTAGAGAAAAGTGTTTATCAAATGGTGTCTGATGTACCATATATGTACTGAAGATATGTGTTAGAATCTCCTCACTTTTCATTAGTATTTTTGTGAATAAAGGTTAACTTCAAAGATTTATGAATACGTATCTGTAGTGTTCTAGAGAGAACAATAAAATCCAACCAATAATAATTGACTTACAGTATACATCAGCTACACCACCGATAATAACGTTCACATAAATGTAAGATCAATGTGTTTCGAAATACACGGTACGTCATATCCACTACCAATATTTTACACCGAGTCAATATTGTACATTTCAACAGACATAGTGTATTAAAAGACCACATTAGCTTACTTGTTCTAATGTCTGAATACTGGAATTTAACTACGAAGAATAATGGTATGAATAAATCTGACTTGACGGGTTTTTGTTAACTGCTTCTCATCTTAAACGAATAAACAGAATGTCATGAATATCTTAAAAGACTGAATAATGTTGG